TTGTTATTGTATAGGACAACAAAGACGAAGCTAGGATTTTAGTCTTATAGATTCTGAATCTTAGAATGACGACTTCAAGTGTTAATGACTAAGTTCTACATTTAATACATATTTAATAAATCTCTTATCGCAAAATACACTATTTGAATAAAAACTATTAAATTCAATCAAACTTATAACTCAACTTTTGCCTCCGCCCTGTAGGGAGTTAGTTTTGAATTTTGGACCATCACTATCACCCATGGAAATAACTACTGCTTGAAGCCTTGGACCAGTATAAAGAGAAAATGATTAAATGAGGGAAAAAAGGGTCAACATTCATAACTCATCTACCAAATGACATATTTTACCCATTTTATCTTAATTTATAAAATGAGAAACTTTCAAAAACCACTATGTTTTAGTGGTTATTAGCTAGCTGTAGCTATCATTTACTATACTTCCTATAGCTATGTTTTTAGATTGTTTAGAGTGTATTCGATGTATTTAAGCTACTGTATTCATGAATACAGTAGCATTTCTAGGCGTGAAACATGGGATTACAGTTGGACAGATTATTGCATTCTACTGTATTCACGGCGTGAAACAGGGGATTACACTGTTTTTAAACGGAAAGTGAATCAATTAACATAATAGACTCCTAATATAACTCAACAAACTCAATTACAACACACAAACTTTGTATTCCCAGTTATAAAAAGATTCTCAACCGAAAAACACCCCAAAAACATAGCAATCTTCAGAGAAATTATATAATACATTTGAATACATAAATTATATTAATCAAAAAAATATATGAATACATTCATGGAATACAACAAGACAGTGAATACAATGAAATACATGGAATACAGCGAGATACATTGATCAATGAAAAAAAGGACAATGAATACAATGAAATACATGAAAATACGGCGTGATACATTGAAATACATTAATAGAAAATTCAAGTTGCTCAGCCCCAAACTCCGCCGTCTTTGTTCAAGAACAACCCTAATGTCGTCTCAGCGGATAGAGATAACAATTTCCTCGGAATAGGAACCTCAATTTCACTTTCTTCTTATCTACCACATCGTCCTTGCCGCCAACGATTTTCCTCGGGACAGGAACCTGAATTTTCAGTTTGTTTCCATCCGTAACTAACGGTGCTGCCATCCAGAAATCCATTAGAATCCACCATTACCAAACAAATTATTAAGAAAGATTTTTATCTACTTATCCCTGAAGAGAAGTCTTGGATTGATTCTTTCTCCAAAAATTAGGTCGAATAATATATGGTTCTCTTCAAATTGAGGTACAGACCAATCCTACCACATACTTCAAGGTGTAACAGGAGCAGATTCGCTAACAGGAATCAGCCGGAGTTTTCATCATCATAAACTTCAAAACTTTGGAGTTCAAATCCATGGCAAAGAGATGAGATTCAAAACCGTACAAACAAAAATATCTTTGAGAAGCTCTGTAAAAGTAAGATGAAGGTGGAAGATGAGAAAGAGAGAGAGGGTGAATAGATATGGGGTAGGGGATATGAGAAATTTGAGAGGATAAGAGAAATTTGAGTGGAGAGAGAAAAATAATACAAAGCTTATTTTATGGTTTAAGGGTAGCAGGTGACCATATATAGATATTTGGCTATAAAAAATCAAAAGGTAGTTATGGAATATAATTTTTTAAAAGGGTATTTATTTAAAATAAATAAGGTATCAACCTTTGCTATAGGAGATAGCTAATCCTTTATAAAATCATACTACTTTTCTTCTTAGTTTGTTTCAAAAGAGAATAATATATTTTAATGTTTTGAAATAATGTATTTACACCTAAACAAATTAAACTATTTAACTGTTGTAACTAAAATCAAAATGAGAATAAATATTTTTTTAATTAATTATGACTAAGTAGTAAAATGTGTATATAAAATACATATATCTTGCATTAATTGGCTTAGTATAAATGAGATAAGTTGTTATTCAATGACTTGTTTTACACAATAAATTTTATTTTATTTTTTCTTTCGTAAACATTGTGTCTATCAACACCGTGCCATATAAAATGGGATGGAGGGAGTAATTTTTCCTTCCTTTACACTTTGGCACCATTTGTAACGGGATTAGTTATTTCACCTTCCCATAGGAATTAAAAAAATACTATAATCTCAGAATAATGAATTTTAGATTAATTATATCACGATTTTATCTCAACCAAACATGGGATAGACTCATCTCAAATTTAATTCCGGGACTATTTATCCCTTGTCCCTCTTACCAAACGGGTCCATATTGATAGAAAAATCATTTTATATTTATTCTTGACTCCAAGTTCCAATCTGAAGTACGACGAAAGATAATTTTAAATCATAGGTAAGAATAGAGGTAATTTTCGGGAGTATTTTGATATTAGATCTCACTTAGTTCACGAAGAGTTAAAATCAAGGATAAATATGAGATTATTTACCAATGATAAAAGTAAAAACGAGTATAATACTATAATGGAGGCCAAAGGGTGAAAAACAAAAAGGAAATAAAAGATCCGCTAAGTCGTCTCGGCATTTTTTCTATTCTCGTCTTTGGGCGCTAAAGTTTCTTGTAGGGTTGTTGGTCGGTTGGTACGGTACGGTATTTAGATATTTTGGTTCGGTATTTTTGGTATTCGGTTTCTTAAAATCCTATACTAATACCGTACCTAATTAAATTCGGTATAGTTCGATTTTTCTCCTTCCGGTTTCGGTTTGTTCGGTTCGGTAACTTCGATTTATTCGGTTTGAATACAAAACTAAAAATGTTTGTTAACAAAATTTTTGTCCAAATCTAGCAAATATCGACCAAAATAGAAAAAATTGTGCATAAATTTTTATATTTCTGTTATAATTGATAATATGTGTTTTGTATAATATAACATATATTTCGGTACGATATTGGTATTTCGATATTTTATTTTAAAATACCAAATACCATAGCTAATACCACTTTTTAAAAACCTTAAACCAAATACCATATTAAATACCAAAATACCGTACATCAAATACCAAATTTTTTTCGTTACGGCAATTCAATATTTACCAAATTATGCCCTGCTCTAGTTCCTTGGGTTTGGCGCTAAAGCTGTGAAACAAATGCCGAACGAAATTAAACAATGAAACCCTAGTCTCCAAATTTTCCCGCTCTACACTCAGCCAACCTACTAACTCTGTCTCCCCGTGGACAGAGAATCGACGGCCGTCTCGGATTTCTCCTCTTTTCTGACGCCAATCGTTAGCGCCGGAAGGTATGTTCTCCTCTTCTAGTAGTACTAATTTGTTGCTTCGTTATGAAACAGATATAAGAATCTGTGCAGTTCATTACGTGCACTTGTTTTGAGACAATGTAAACTGATACTCTGATAGTTTGAATCTGATGAAGTAATTAATTTCTTTGGTTAATCTAGCTTCCAGCTTTATGCTGTAACTTATTTAGGCATTTTCAGGAATATGTCTTTGAAATAATCGGATATCGTAACATTAAATTTATATTTTCAGATCCCAAAAGCCGACGTCCCTTTTATTATTATTATTATTATCATTTTTGGATAAGTAAAAAGCTCAAGTTTACCTGAACGAAAAGGAAGTAGAAAATTCTTCATGTCTAAGAGGCTAGGGCTAGTGGGCTGCTAATTTGCTTAGCCATTGTCCCACTTTTTATTGACGAAGTTGTAATCATTAAATAATTTTTGTTGATATAAGTTTGTTATAACTGTGAATTCTTTTTTGATGACCGAGAAATCCGCCTGGGGCAACCCAGCCTTCGAAACTCGGGGATAATAGGTCCGCCCCTCTGCCGTTCTCCACTTAAATACCAAGTTTAGCTCGCATGACGCAGGTCTTGATCACAAGTTCCTCAACCTTTGCCACTTGAACTAAGCCATGAGGGCTTCTTAGGAGTGCAATTTCCCTATTCAAATATTTTGTCACTTCTTTTGCAGATAGATGGGTATGATTTTCACAATAGGTCGCTAGAATTTGCGGAATGGTTGCTTATGCTATTGTTGAAATGATCTTATAATTATTTGGATATCCCTTGCTTGTCCCTCGCTCACTTGAGCTCGAAGATGATTGAAGGGTCTTTTAATAGAAGAATGAACTTGATATTTCCTTTCTTATCTGTCGTTTAACAAAATAGCAGAAGTAACTTAAAGATATCATTCTTCAAGGTAATTCTTTTAATTGACAACAACAACAACATACCAGTGTATTCCCACAAGTGGGAGGGTAGTATATATACAAATCTTACCCCTACCCCGTGAAGGTAGAGAGGCCGTTTTCCGAAGACCCTCGGCTCAATAAAGCAAAAATGCATAGTTCTTTAACTGACATTATTAGCGAAGATTAAAAATTCTATAAAGCTTTTATGAGAAATATAAAAAGAGGCAGGTTGGTGCACTAAGCTTCCGATATGCGCAGTGCCAGGAAGGGCCGTACCACATTGATTCTATTATATGCAGATTGCATTTGTGCAACAGGTTGTTTCCACATTTATCATACGAGAATGCACGGGAGAAAATATTATTGCTTAATTAAAGTGTTGTACAACCCTATTTTTATATAGTGATTACATAATAATAGGTATCTACTTCCCGATGTGGGACACCATACATGACTAACTACTTAACACTTCCCCTCAAGCCGGTGCATATAAATCATATATATCGAGCTTGTTACAGATGTAACTAATACGAGAACCAGTAAGAGACTTAGTGAAAATATCTGCTAGCTGATTATTCGACTTTACAAACTTTGTAACAATATCTCCTAAGAGTATCTTTTTTCTGACAAAGTGACAGCCGATCTCAATGTGTTTAGTCCTCTCATGGAACACCGGATTTGACACAATATGAAGAGCAGCTTGATTATCACACACCAATTCCATCTTGCTAATTTCTCCGAACTTCAACTCCTTGAGCAACTGCTTGACCCAAACTAGCTCACACGTTGCCATAGCCATGGCCCGGTATTCGGCTTCGGCGCTAGATCAAGCAACTACATTCTGTTTCTTGCTCTTCCAAGAGACCAAATTACCTCCTACTAGAACATAATATCCAGACGTAGAACGTCTAGCAGAAGGTGATCCTGCCCGATCAGCATCTGTGTACCCAACAATCTGTTCGTGGCCTCGATCCTCGAATAGTAACCCTTTGCCTGGAGCTGACTTTATATACCGAAGAATGCGAAGTATCCCAGTGCCTTTCACAGGGAGAATCCATAAACTGACTTACAACACTCGCCGGAAAAGAAATGTCAGGTCTAGTCACTGTGAGGTAATTCAATTTGCCAACCAACCTCCTATATCTCGTAGGATCTCTAAGAGGCTCCCCCTGTCTAGGCAGAAGCTTAGCATTCCGATCCATAGGAGTGTCAACAGGTTTGTAGCCCATCATTCCAATCTCCTCAAGAATGTCTAAGACATACTTCCGCTGTAAAATAACAATACATGAGCTAGACTGAGCGAGCTCAATACCTAAAAAATACTTCAATCTGCCCAGATCCTTAGTCTGGAAGTGTTGAAAGAGATGCTGCTTCAGATTAGTAATACCATCCTAATCATTGCCAGTAATAACAATATCATCAACATAAACCACTAGATAAACACACAGATTAGGAGCAGAATGCCGAAAAACACAGAGTGATCAGCTTCACTTCGAGTCATCGAACTCCTGAATAACTGTGCTGAACTTACCAAACCATGCTCGAGGAGACTGTTTCAAACCATATAGTGACTTGCGCAATCGGCATACAAGACCACTAGACTCCCCTGAGCAACAAAACCAGGTGGTTACTCCATATAAACTTCTTCCTCAAGATCACCGTGGAGAAAAGCATTCTTAATGTCTAACTAATAAAGAGGCCAATGAGGTACAACAACCATGGACTAAAAGAGGCAAACAGATGCTACTTTAGCCACGGGAGAGAAAGTGTCACTATAATCAAGCCCAAAAAATCTGAGTGTATCCTTTTGCAACAAGACGAGTCTTAAGCTGATCAACCTGGCCATCCGGGCCGACTTTGATCGCATAAACCCAACGACAACCAACAGTAGACTTACCTGAAGGAAGACGAACAAGCTCCCAAGTGCCACTTGCATGTAAAGCAGACATCTCCTCAATCATAGCCTGTCGCCATCCTGGATGAGATAGTGCCTCATCTGTCGACTTAGGGATAGAAACAATGGACAAAGATGATATAAAAGCATAATGAGGTGATGACAGATGATGGTAACTTAAACCGACATAATGGGGATTAGGATTAAATGTGGATCGTACACCTTTGCTGAGTGCAATTGGTTGACTAAGATGAGACAAGTCCGCAGTAGGTGCAAATCTGATGCAGGACGTGAATCACCTGGGTCTGATGCTGGACGTGGACGGCGATGATAAGTCAAGAGCGGTGGAGCTGCAGAAGGTTGAACCGACCCGACTAGGACCCCAAACATCTGAATAAACTAAAGTAAAAGGTGACTCTGCTCGATTATCAAGACGTCGAGGGAAATGAGAGCGGGTATGCTTACCGAGCTGACATGACTCACACTCTAGAGTAGACAAGTGAGATAAACCAGGTACCATTTTTTGAAGTTTTGACAAAGTGGGATGTCCCGGCCGTTTATATAATAAATTTGGTGAATCGGTAACAAGACAAGTTATTGAAGGAAGACAAGATGTGAGTCCATGTGATTTTGCAAGGATAAGGTAATAAAGTCCATCTGATTCATGTCCGGTACCAATGATCCTCCCCGTACTGCGTTCCTGTATAAAAACAAGGTCATCAAGAAATAAAACAGCGCATTTAAGTGATTAGGCTAAGCGACTAACGACTATGAGATTAAAAGGGCTATTGGGAACATAAAGAACTGAATCTAAAGGTAAGGAAGGAAGGGGGCTTGCTTGACCTATTGCAGTTGCCATGGTTTGAGACCCATTGGCCATTGTGACTGTTGGAAGAGATTGAGAATACGAAATACTAGTGAAAAGACATTTGTTACCAGAAATATGATCAGATGCACCTAAATCAATGACCCAAGACTCAGAGGTTGAAGATTGAGAGACACAAGTCACGCTACTATCTGTTTGAACAACGGAACCTATCCCTGAAGATGTCTGTTTACATGCTTTGTACCGAAGGTACTCAATATGGTAAAGAAACTATCTGGATTGGATTCAATGCATTAGATCCAACGAATTGTGAGTTAAAGTCTTCTGATACGAATGCCATGATAATATTGTGCCGGAAAAAGCACAAATTTTCTAGGAATCACTATTTTCGCCAGAAAACTCACTGTTCACGCCGGAAAAATCTCAAAGTGCTCAGAATAAAAAGAAAACAGTATGTGCCTGGTCGGAATAACTAGAAGAAAAGGTTGTCCTGAAGAAACTTTTCCAAAAAATGGCCGGAACACTGAAGCTTGCCGGAAAATAAAAAACTCGTCGGAATCTGATGTAACCTTGATGGGTAGGCTTGGAAAAGCCTCGCGATCAGGCTGTCCTGAAGAAGGTCGGCCAAAAAATGGCCGGAAACAGGTACACGTGCCGGAGCGTGGGGCAGACGCGCCGGCGGAAACCCTTCTCTGACCGGCGCGTGAGGGCGCGTGGAGGGTCCTTTTTCGGAGATCTTTTTCTTGGGTTTGCTCGCCTCTGTCTTAGGGACCTTGGTTTGGTGTTGGATTTTGCACAACACCAAGGAAAAAGGATTTTGTTGCGGACAACCTCTTAAGTTGCCGGAAACTGGAATGATGCACATCGATAAATTTTTCACTAATGCTCTGATACCATGTGAGAATGCACATGACAAAATATTATTGTTTAATTAAAGTGTTGTACAACCCTATTTATATACAGTGGTTACATAATAATAGTTATCTGCTTCCCGATGTGGGACACTATACATGGCTAACTACTTAATAGAGGGAAAATAATTTCATAAATTTTTTAGTATAAGCTGGAGTAAAAGAAGCAATTACTGCAACCGAAATTGATCTAATATAATAGCGGGCAGCCCGGTGTACAAGAGGAAGGTCCGCATCCAAGGGGTGTGATGTAGCTGCTTCCACGGCTCGAACCCATGACCTATAGGTCATTCGGAGTCAACTTTACCGTTGCTCCAAGGTTCCCCTTCCTTGATCTAAATAATAGCCACAGAAGAAAAGGATCATAGGCGACATTATTCTAGTAGTTGTGGGCTTAGAAGATTCACCAAAAATAGCTTTGAAAGCGCACCAAATAATAAGCCGTAAGATGTGAGACTTGATGTTGTTCCGTGACCACTGACAAGCCTACATTGTGTTGCCCACCAGCTATCTTCACCTATTCTCTCCTAAACTAAATAAGATTCAATACCTTCCTCTTGGTAAATTTCCATCTTCATTTGAATTCAATGTCTCCCTCTTGGCTATTTTGTTTTCTTCTGAGCTTTCCCTTCGAGGGCTCTTATTATTCATCTGATGAATCATTTTGTGCTGCAGGGTTGTAATCATAATCCTCAAATTTGAGATAACTTAGCCAAGTTCTTGAATTTGTTCTCCATTTTATTCTTCTACATCTCTGTAAATATGTGAGTATCTTGATTCAGTTATCTATTCTGACGTGTTATGGTTCCAGGATCAGGATATGATGGAGATATTATTGAGATAGTTGCTACTTGCTTCTGAAGCGAAAAATTCCTCCTGTATCCTCTGTATCTTATACTAAAAGAGCTCTTTGATGGGATTTTAAGTTGCAATCAAGGAATAAGTTTCAGTATATTTTCCTTTTTGCTCGATATTCCCACAAGATTGGTATGGTTTTAGTTGTCAATCTCTGCTTGAACAGTGTAAATTGAGGTCTTGTTTTGTGGTTCAATTAGTTTATGAATATTTTTTCCTCCATGGATTGGTGAGAGTGATGGTGGACTTCAGATTGCTTGATAATCATCCCATAGCCTGGATAAAATTATGGCGGAAACTGGAGATTTCAGTGCCGTAAGTGGATATTTTGGGTTATAGCATCTTTTTTTTCTGGGAACCCTTTCCAACTTGTTGTTTTTCTAGGAGGTTATGGAGTTCTTTCCTGTCGAGGTCATTGGCAACATATTGTCACGGCTTGAAGATGCACGAGATGTTGTAATTGCATCTTTTACTTGCCGGAAGTGGCAAGAGGCTTGGAGGAACCATCTTCATACACTTACATTTAATTCGGATGACTGGCCTGTTTATGATGAGCGCATGACACGCAGATTTAAAGTAATTATAACTCAGACAATTTTCCAGACCAATGCACTGCAATGTCTTTCAATAACCATGAAAAAAGACGTGCTCTCTGCTGCTCCGGTGATTGCTTGGCTATTGTATACAAGAGAAACCTTACGCCAATTGCATTTTAGTGCGAATACCCCAAACCTTAATATACTTGAAAAATGTGGTCACCAGAGGTTGGAACTGTTGGATCTGGCAGAGATAACCATATCCAGAGTTGAATTTAGTTACCAAAAATTTTCTTGCTTGAGGTCTCTTTCACTGGAACGTGTCACCATATCAGCTTTGGACCTAAGTTGTTTGCTCACTGCCTGCCCCAAAGTTGAGGTCTTAAATCTTGTTTGTCTGGATTTTGATACGTTTGGTCAGGGGGCCACAATGAAACTTCGTAGTAACTCTTTGAAAGATATCCACATTCAAGGCATTGTTCTGGATGAAATCATCTTGGAGGCTGATAGCCTTGAGAAACTGCAAATAAAAGATTTTGATATCAAAATTATCAAAAGTAAGAAGGATGAGTCTATGTGGTGTTACATTTGAAGATGACGTTGAAGTTGAGGATATTGACTCTACTTCTGCTTGTTTTTCTCAATTAAGTCATTTATCCTTAACCTATGAACTTAGAGATTCACTTCAGGGTGGATTGCTCGGTTATTCTCAACTGGAAAATGTGGTTGTATTGGAGCTTGGCTGGAAAGTGATTACTGACCTATTCTCACATTGGGTAGCGGAACTACTGGAAAGGTGCCCTAATTTGAAGAAGTTGGCCATTCATGGGGCTGTGTCGCGAATCAAAACACAAGAAGAATGTCATATCTTAGCGAACTTCACATCCTTCATTGTTAAGCTTATGGGGAAGTATTCACATGTGGACGTTCAGTTTAAATATGTATAGATTTTAGGAACTATTGCATTGGAGTTCAAATTTTTGTCAATTGTGTAATTGTGGATAGTGCAAGGAGGTACATGCTGATGATCTTTAGTGGGTGATCGTCTTTCTACTTATTTGGGTAATACTTTTTTTCCAGATAAATATGTGCGTCAAGTTATTGTGAATTGACTTAAGTTCACATATCCTTTGCATTCTTGGTTTCTGTTTTTGTTACTAGTTATTGATTTGGTTTGCATCTTAATAACTCTGTTTCTGTTATTTGCCATGTCATTTTATCTTCTGCTTACTCTTGTATTTTTCCTCAAGGATTTAATTTTCTTTTCTTTTCTTTCTTGGTTCATGATTTATGTTTATTATAGATGCCTTAAATTAATTACTTATGCGCCATTATTAAATGAGTCCCATTTTCTTCTTGAATTTTTACTTCCTATAGCAAAGGTTAACACCTTATTTATTTTAAATAAATACCATTTTAAAAAATTATATTCTATAGATACCTTTTAAGGTTTATAGCAAGATATTTAATTTTGGTTACCTTCTAGCCCTAAGCCACTATATACGCTAATCAGTTACATTATTTTCTTTCTCTCTCTACTTTGATACATTCCATTCTCTTTCCCCATCCCATCAAAATTTCCGATCTCCTTGAAATTTCCTCAACATATTCACCTATCCGTTTCTCGTTACAGTCTCCAAAGTCAATTTCAAGTTCAATATGGACTTCAGAAGCATCTGGTATAATATCACATATCATGATTATTTTCGTACAATATTTTTTTGGTACTCTTAATGTGAAAAACATACTGTAAGTAATGATTATGTTATAACGTTGAGGACGGAATTGACTGGGTCAGCAAGGGAAGCAGCCATAGCGAGGCAAGTAGTACTGCTTGAACTGCTACGGATCAAGTTGTCTTGCGGCAGCGTATTTCCATGCCCGCAAACATCAGCGTTATTGTTGGAATTGTAATGGGGACTGTGTA